GTGTATGAGTTAAAATACTCCATACACAAAATTGTCTACTATATAAGCAATGGACACACATATATACATAATGATCTATTTAAACAAAAATTTATTATATTAAATAAATAATATAAAAAATCTTTACAAGGGATTAAATAAAAAAATACTATAACACAATTACATGGTTAATAGTATATCCCAACAATCTCCCACTTAGACTTATAACCATGCATTCATAATTTTAACACCCATTTCTTCCACATGCTTATCAAAAGCCTTCTGAGGTAAGCCTTTTGTAAATGGGTCCGCCAAATTGTTCTTCGATTCAATCTTCAATACACTCACATCACCCCTTTGAGTTATATCACGAATCAAATGATATTTCCTCTCGATGTGCTTACTCCTTCTATGGCTTCGCGGTTCTTTCGAGTTAGCAACTGCACCACTGTTATCACAATAAAGTGTGATTGGTGCTTCAACCGAAGGAACCACTCCAACCTCTTTTAGGAAGTTTCCAAGCCAAACAGCCTCCTTAGCCGCTTCAGAGGCAGCTACATATTCAGCTTCCATGGTGGAATCAGCAACACAAGATTGCTTGATACTCCTCCATATTACGGCTCCACCTCCCAGAGTAAATACATATCCTGAGGTTGACTTTCTTGAATCTCTATCTGACTGGAAATCTGAATCTGTATACCCAATAGGTACAAGATTTCCAGGATGGAAAACAAGCATGTAATCTCTAGTCCTTTTCAGGTATTTGATTATATGCTTAACTGCTGTCCAATGTTCTTGCCCAGGATTAGACTGGAATCTACTAACCATGCCAACAACAAAGCAGATATCCGGTCTAGTACATAACATAGCATACATGAGACTCCCTACAGCAGATGCATAAGGGACCGCCTTCATTCTCTCTATCTCATCAGTTGTTTTGGGCGACTGATCTTTTGATAAAGTAATTCCATGTCTAAAAGGAAGAAATCCCTTTTTTGAATTTTGCATGTTAAACCTTGCAAGAATAGTATCAATGTAAAGCGCTTGAGACAAGCCTAATATTCTTTGTTTACGATCTCGCATAAGCTTGATCCCAAGGATATGAGCCGCTTCTCCCAAGTCTTTCATATCAAAACGCGATGACAGCCATTCCTTAACTGAATTCAACATGCTCACATTATTTCCTATGAGCAAAATGTCATCAACATATAGAATTAAAATTGCTACTCTGTTTCCTTCCCATTTTTTATAGATACATGATTCATTTTCAAATTGATCAAAACCAAAAGTCTTAATCGACTTGTCAAAACAAATATTCCATGCTCTAGATGCTTGCTTTAGTCCATAAATGGATCTCTTAAGTTTACACAACATGTGTTCATTGCCACTTTCTATGAAACCTTCTGGTTGTGCCATATAGATGCATTCATCAAGGCTTCCATTTAGAAAAGCCGTCTTGACATCCATTTGCCAAATCTCATAATTGTAATGAGCAGCAATGGACAAGAGAATCCTAATGGATTTAAGCATAGCTACCGGTGAAAAAGTTTCCTCATAATCAATTCCTTCTTTTTGAGTAAACCCTTTCGCAACAAGCCTAGCCTTAAAAGTTTTCACTCTTCCATCCACACCTCTCTTTTTCTTGAAGATCCACTTACAACCAATAGGTTTGACATCAGCAGGGTGTTCTACTAGATCCCAGACTTGATTAGAGTACATAGACTCCATTTCTGATTTCATAGCAACAATCCACATTTCAGCATCTTTATCATGTATTGCTTCGGCGTAATTCAATGGTTCTGTATTAAGCTCTTCAGGGATTCTATCATATGACTCTCCCAAGAGCGTAAACCTTTCAGGCTTTCTAATAACTCTCCCACTACGACGAATAGCCACTACAGGATGTGCTACTTCTTGAACTAAATCCTGAATATCCTGAACATCTTCCTCCACAGCCTCAGGCTGCTGGACATTGCTCCCACTACTTTGAGGTAGTGAAATATCTTGAGTTTGCTCTAGGGCAACCTCCTGCGCAGCCTCAGGTGCAATTTCTTGCCTATGGACATTTCTCCCACTACGTGGTCGTAAAGAAATGTCAACAACTGTGTATGGAATTTGTTCTGTCGATTCATTACCCGTTATTCTTTTGGACAGTTCCTGTAACACTAGTTTACTTCTAGGAACATGGTTCATTAAATAGTCCTGTTCTAGAAACTTGGCATTTGTCGATACAATTACCTTTTGATCCTTAGGACAGTAAAATAAACCTCCTTTAGTGCCTTTTGGATATCCAATAAAAATGCATACTTCTGTTCTAGATTCTAACTTATCTGTTTTTCCTTTAAGCACATGAGCTGGACAACCCCAAACTCGAATATGCCGTAGGCTAGGCTTTCGCCCATTCCACAATTCGGATGGGGTTAAAGGTACAGATTTTGAAGGAACCAAATTCAGAATATAATTCGCAGTTTCTAAGGCATATCCCCAAAAGATAAAAGGTAAATCAGAATAACTTAACATTGATCTAACCATTTCCAAAAGAGTTCTATTTCTACGTTCTGCCACACCGTTTTGTTGAGGTGTTCCTGGGGCAGAATATTGAGAAGTAATTCCTGATTCTGATAAGTACTTAATGAATTCTGCAGAAAGGTATTCACCACCACGATCAGATCGTAATGTTTGGATATGTTTATCATGTCGCTTTTCCGTTTCAATCTTAAATTCTTTGAATTTTTCAAAGCATTCAGATTTTCGTCGCAACAAATAAATGTATCCATATTTGGAGTAATCATCTGTGAATGTCACAAAATACTTAAAACCACCTCTTGCTTGTATATTCATTGGGCCGCACAAATCAGAATGAATTAATTCTAACTTATTATTGGCTCTATTTCCTTTAGAAGGGAAAGGTCTCTTTGTCATTTTACCTTCTAAACAAGATTCACAGGTTGGTAATGCCTCCACTTTCAATGAACTCAAAGGTCCATCTGTAACCAACCGTGAAATCCTATTTATATTAATATGACATAAACGTAAGTGCCATAAATAAGTTGGACTCAATTGAGAAATATGTTTTCTTTTATTCGAAACAACAATGTTATTTAGTGCAGTTTGTTGAAGCATGTTATGGAAAATTTTAAACACAAATAAATCATGTATTTTGGGAGCACTAAGGATAAAAAAGTTATTACACTTAATAACAACAGAGTTATTCGCAAAGTGAACATCATAACCATCATCCATTAGTTTAGAAACAGACAATAAATTCCTTCTTATAGAAGGAACATATAAAACATTATTCAAAACTAAAAGTCTAGAACTACTAAATGAAAACGAAATTATTCTAACAATTGGTATCACGAGTCTTCTTACATATACTAAATAATGTAATAAGATAATTCATGATATAGACATGATGCGTTACTGTTTCATATATGAATTCGTTGTATCCTAAATACGTTATTTTCTGTTTATGAATTTATGATTTGATATTCTGTTCAATGATAAGATTGAAATAAATCACTGTTTATAATTCAAGTTTAAAAACAGAATGTTTCATGTATTGTTGATAATTGTTCATTCAACAGATCTTGTATAACGAATTCATGATTCATGTTCATTGAATTAATAGTTTGAGTAAGGTTTTTTAAATATTGCATGGATTCTAAATATTTAAAGTTCAATGAAATTTTAAAACAAAACGGACAGCATGCCATGCCTGGAAAAAGTTTTTTTCTGACAAACTCCGATTGGCCTCAAATTTGGTTGGTTGATTGGAAACGATCCAGTGAGCAATACTCACAGCTATGCTGTGACCAAGGGCCTTTTTTGGCCATTCGGAGTCGTTTTGATGGAGTTTTGGCTAATCTATTAGGAATTTATTGACTCATCAAAAAGTCTCACCTTTTAATAGATTAAAACAATAAAATAAATTACATAGATCATACTAATTATATCAAGATTGAGAGTATAAGTACATGTAGTGGACTAGAGAATTTATTTATAAATATTCAGAACATAAACAAATGTCTCTAATTGGTCCGTTCAATACATACAAAATGTACTAGCATAAGAAGTTGAATTTAACCATTCTCATAATTAAGATCAAATTATATTTAATCTTGTGCTACGATCATCAAGATGTTCGTCCTACTTCATCTTTGGTCGTGAACATAAATTTATAACTTATATGCACCAACAATTTTAATCTTCCGTGTATGAGTTAAAATACTCCATACACAAAATTGTCTACTATATAAGCAATGGACACACATATATACATAATGATCTATTTAAACAAAAATTTATTATATTAAATAAATAATATAAAAAATATTTACAAGGGATTAAATAAAAAAATACTATAACACAATTACATGGTTAATAGTATATCCCAACATCATATTCACAGTAGAATTGACAGAGCCCTCGTTAACCCTACCTGGATGAGCACATGACCACATCTTGAAGTAGAAGCAAAAGATCCACACTTCTATGATCATACTTTGTTGAGTGTTACTATTGAGAAACCACCAGAAACACAGGCTAGGCCTTTCGATTCCTTAATTACCTATGCAATCATAAGGAATTTATGGGTATTGTGGGAAAGACATGGGATTTACCTTCTAAAGGGACCTACATGGTGAAAGTATGGAGTAAGTTAAAAAAGATGAAGGAAGCTATGAAGGTATTGAACATGAAGGAATACTAAAAAATGGAGCAGATGATCAAGTTACTAAGGTTCAACTACAGAGAATCCAAATGAAACTTCGACACAGTCTGAATGATCAAGAATTATTTTATCGTGAAAAGAACCTGAAACTAGAACTGGAAAAATGGACCATGGTGGAAGAAAGTATTCTAAGAGAGAAGTCTAGGGTTCAATGGCTCAACCTCGGTGATAGCAACTCTACCTTTTTTCATGCTAGTATCAGGAGCAGAATTGCACAAAATCAAATCACTAGATTGGTCTTAGAGAGCAAAGGGAGATCCTTCAAATAGGGGAGGCGATTGAGAAGGAAATGACATTCTTTTACAAACAACTACTAGGAATATGTGCTGAACAATTACCAGTTGTTGATCCTAAAATCATGAGTAATAGGTATATTCTAAATAGGGAGCAACAATTACATCTTATATCCCCTATTGCTGAAGAAAAAGTTTTATTGGCATTGAAATATATTGTTGATCTGAAAACCCCGGGATATAATGGGTTTAATACATTATTCTTTAAGAAAACTTGGTGTGTGGTGAGCAAGGAGATTATAGAGGCAGTGCTGCAGTTTTTCAACAACAACTGGATGTATAAGGCAATAAACTGCACTGTTGTTACATTGGTACCAAAGGTACAATAATCTATGTTTATTAAGGAGTTTCGTCCTATATCATGTTGTATTACCCTGTATAAGATAATCTCCAAAATATTGACTAAGAGGCTTTAAAGTGTGGTGGACAGTGTAATTGACCCTGGGCAGGCTGGTTTCATACCAGGTAGGGTTATAACTGATAACATCCTATTAAGTGATGATCTTGTCAAGGGGTACAATAAGAAAGGAATCTCTCCGAGGTGTATGCTCAAATTTGACATGCAAAAAGCTTATTACTCGGTAGAATGGCACTTCCTTGAACAAGTTTTGGTTTGTCTAAACTTTCCTCCCAAATTTGTGGGGTGGGTAATAACTTGTGTTAAAACTGTATTCCAATACTATTATTGTAAATGGCAAACCAGCAAAACCTTTTGAAGCAAGAAAATGGTTGAGACATGGGGAGAACCCAAATTTTAACTCCCATCCTAAATGTGCTAGGTTGAATCTTATACAACTGGTTTGCAAATGATTTGCTCTTGTTTTGTAGAAGAGATGAATCAATGAAGTACTTGTTTACTCAATTTTAGTGTTTTTCCAAGTCCTCTGGCCTGGTAGCCAACCATACCAAAAGCTCTGTGTATTGTGGAGGAATAACTAGCGAGGTGCAAAAAGAAATCATAGAGATGCTTGGCTTTTCGAAAGGTGAACTTCTCGTAAGATATCTAGGAGTTCATTTGAGCACAAAAAGAGTTTTTGTAGTCCAATGCCAACCTTTGATAGAAAAGATCTTAGGAAGGGTAAAGTCATGGACCACAAAATTCCTTTCATATGCTGGGAGAACTCAATTGATAAAATCAGTGTTATTCTCAATTCAAGTATTCTGGGCTCAAATCTTTGTTCTTCCAAAGAAAGTGGTTAAAATCATTGAAGCTACTTGTATAAGGTTTCTATGGATTAGTGGTGTCGAATTCTCAAAGAAAGCTCTACTGGCTGGGACAAAGTTTGTCAGCCTGAGTCTGCAGGGGGGCTAAACATATTGGACATTCATACATAGAACAAAGCAGCAATAGTAAAGCTACTATGGAACATATTCCAAAAGAAGGACACTTTATGGGTCAAATGGATCCACATTTATAATGGTAAAAATAGGGTACTATATGAGGAAGTGCCAACGTAGACATTTTGGATAATTCAAAGAATTTTAAAGGCTAAATATGTGGAAAAGGCTGAATTTAGCATGGTAGACATACATGAGATGAAGCAATTCTCAATCAAGCAGATATACCTAAGGCTCAGGGAGGATTTTCAAAAAGTTGAATGGAGAAGATTAGTGTGCAACAATTTGGGAGTGCCTAGATGGATCTTTATCTTAAGATTGGCAGCACTAAATAAATTTTACACTAGGGACAGACTGTTGAAATGGGGAATGGTTGTGAATCCTAGTTGCCCTTTATGTTCTATGGCAGATGAGAGTCACCTACATCTGTTCTTTGCTTGCACAGTCTCTACTCAAGTATGGCAAAAAATTATCAACTGGCTTGGAATCTCTCGGTCACCTGCAAGCTGGAATTATGAATTAGCATGGGCTACTGCAAATGCTACATATAAGAGTAGTAGAGCTGAAATTTACAGAATGGTCCTTGAAGTCACCATCTAACATATTTGGAGGGAAAGGAACATGCGTGTCTTTCAACAACAGCAAAGGCCAACAGAGCTTCTCACAAAATTGATCATCCAAGATGTTCATGCTAGAGCTCTTAGACATGTTAAGGTGAATAGTTGGTTAGAGAATCATAATTTCTATCCTATGTAAAAGGAAATGAAACATATGTTTATGCTACAGTTTATTGTTACCTCTAATGCTAAGTGGCTAGGAATTGCATAGTAGTCTACTGAAGTAATGGGACTATGTCCATTACACATTATTTTTTTTTTATTCCTGTATCTCATTGCTCTTTTGGTTAATAAATCATTTATTTACCAAAAAAAAAGTTTGGGCAAAATTTACTTTTACCATACTAATTACTACATTATTGTCTTGGAGCACAAATTATCTTTTATTTTTTACATGAAACTCCTAAGTAAATTTTCATTATTTATTTTAAAATTGGGAGATTATATGAGAACGACAAATTGTCATATGTTTTGCATGTGCCCTAAATAAATATCTAAATGGACTCCCATTTTTCATTTTAATTTTGCATAATTCTCGTAGTTTCTTTTATTATACATGTTTTGATGTATTAGTGTTGAAGTTGGAGGAAAATAATACTAGGAGAAAACTTCTTTTATTTCTTATTAGTGATTTTTATTAGGAGAAAACATCCCTAATAAATATTATATCTAATCATTCAATGTGCCATTAACATTTTTTAAATATATGTTAATTTAAATATTTTGTTATTCACATATAAGAAGTCATAAGCACCTCAAGTATAATTCACATATTTTGCTATACCAAATAGGAAAAATTACCTAACTATATATTTTTTCTTACCCTATTTTCTATTATTCCCTATCGTTTTAAAAAATCACAAAAATTCCTCTTTTTTTCACAAATTATCTCCTTTCCAGATACATAACTATTTCCCCCCCTTTTTCATGCCCACTATATCACTAGTTACCTTCATCACTCCTTTATTTTTAATTTTAAATATTTTCTCTCTCTAGTTAATGATTTAAAGTTAATCAAGAGGCAATTCTTTATTTTATTTTTCTTTCCATTTCTTTTTTTTTTTATAGGAAAACCATGTGAATATTGGGGTAATTTTTCATACACAAAGACAAGTGTTTTTAATGTTAGAGAGATGATTAGAATGTAGACTCAATATAAACCACCCCTACATGGACATGACAAACCAATCAAGGAAAAAATTAGGACAAAAACAAATCATAAAAGTGTCACTCATATATATATATATATATATATATGTATCATATATTTGTTATGTATGTGCAGTACTATTCTATAACTAAATCATTGTTTATCATATTCATATTTTTTTTTGTATATGATACATAGCTACATCAAATTATACGGGCATGATACATAAATACTAATTTATACTAAATGTATCGATCTCAAATCAAACAACTTATAGACAACAATTATATGTTTAATGTATTCCGTAACAATACAATACTTATCAATTTAGATGAGAGATATAAATAGTATTGTATCATGCACTAATTTTGTAGATATGATACTTAAAATCGAATTTATACTAAATATATCAATTACATAGGAACTACCACACGGTAATGTATCGATCTTAAATCTAAGATCCTATGGGCAACAATTACTTTCTTAATGTATCTAGTATAAATACAATACTTATCAATTTAAACGAGATACATAAATAATAATGTATCATGCACTATTTTTTTAGATATGATACGTAAATTTGAATTTATACTAAATGTATCAATTGCATAGCAATTACCACACGGTAATGTATCGATCTCAAATCTAACATGTTATGGACAACAATTATTTATTTAATGTATCTAGTATAAATACAATATTTATCAACTTAAACAAGATACATAAATAGTAAATGCTAAGTAGCAAAGATATTCATGATGTATCTTTTCAAATTTTCAACAATTTTGAATCAAAATTGAAAAGATCTTCAATAAACTAGGAGAAGAATTTTGAATCTAAAAATTATCAACAATTTTGAATCAAAAAAAATTGAAAGGATCTTCAATAAACTAGGAGAAGAATTTTGAATCTAAAAGTTATCAACAATTTTGAATCAAAATTTGTCATGACCCCGACCGTCGTGATTGGCACCCATACTAACTCTCCGGTGGGAGAACCACTACTACAACTTAAACCAAGTAGCTAACCAAAAACTAAGACATTTAAGTTACGGAAGCAAGTTAATAAACTAGGAGAAGAATTTTGAATCTAAACATTATCAACAATTTTGAATCAAAATTTGTCATGACCCCGACCGTCGTGATTGGCACCCACACTAACTCTCCGGTGGGAGAACCACTACTACAACTCAAACCAAGTAGCTAAACAAAAACTAAGACATTTAAGTTACGGAAGCAAGTTACATACTAAGGAAATAAATATGGAGTTCCAATAAACTCCAACAAAAGTCTAACAATGAACTAAACAATGCAGAAAAAATAACTTAGAACCTGAAAGTCAATGTACCAAAACATCTAAAGTTCAACAAGTCTAAACAAGAAGGGATGCAACCCCAATCTAATGTACTAATAACTAATAGAACATAGTCTAAGTCCGAAAATGATGGACATAGACGAAAGAGAACCCATGGCAGCCCAGAAGAATTGGCTCACCCTTGAATTCGAACGATCACTAATCTCCTAAGCGAGGTCTGTCAGTAGCCGATTGAAGATGCCATGTACTCAACAAAAATAAGAGTAAGTGCAGTATCAGTACACAACCACAATATACTGGTAGGATCTCGCGACTATCCCACTAAGTGCAACATAAGCAAGTCAAGACAACATTATAATCACATGCATATATATCAACATATACAATGTTATCAACATTTACGAACAACAAACAACTTCACATTTCTCATGATACACAATTATATCAAATCATTGGTCCTCTCATAGAACCCAAACCCAAACAGTTAACATACCAGAATGTGGTATTCGATCCCATAATTATGCCGGAACGTGGCAATAGATCCCATAGTTATGCCGAAACGTGGCAACCGATCCAAGTTAGTTATGCCGAAACGTGGCAACCGATCCATTCAACACACCATAATCACAATTACAAGTACATCCTCAAGATCATACAATTAAGTCATGATTTCATGGCAATGATAATTCATCTAACTTATTTACAACAAGTGTGATCAATAATGCAACATTCATATACATACAAGTATCATAATGAAGCAAGAACAAACATACATCACACAATCATAGAATCACAACCATCACCTACCTTAAAACAAGTTTGAAACCCTAAGAAACTTGATCCATCCCTTTCGGAATTTGTTCTGCTTGTTCTTGGTCTACAAACAATCAATATAATACGATAATCAATAAACAATCACTAATTACCCAAATTACTAACAATTCTATGAACCCTAGATCATACCCATGATTCCAATTATCCAATTTAGGGTTGTTTCCACCATAAAATCTATAACAAAACCCTCACCTATCAATATTCACTCATTCTATTACGTTCTACGGATTGAAAAATGAATTCGGGGAGTGAAAAACTTACCTTTAGCCTCAAGAATGGTGAAAAATGTAGTAGTCGCCTGGAGTTCGTTCTTTAGCTCTAAAAGTTGAAAAGTGCATAATAAGGTCATTTAGGGGTTTATTAACGACCTTAAGTCGCGTCGACCCCGCCAGAGCAGCAAAATCCAGTGCCAAAGCGGCTGGAACAAAACAAAGAGCTATTTTGAGAATTCCAAAATCCCTATTTCACAACACACCTCTAACCACAATGCTTAGAAAAATACCATTGGCGTTAAAGATCGATTTCGGGAGTTCTACTCACTCGAATTCAATTCCGTAAAGTCGTACGGATTCCTTAACGAGTTATCTAACTACTCATGCAATCAAAATTATAAATGATTCACTTGATTATTACAAGATTTCCCTACACCTCAACGACTCCGATTTTATCCAAATCTGGACTAGGTTGGGAAAATCTAAATACTACGAAAAAGTTTTTCGGCCTCAAATTTCCCCCCATTAACTTTTCTATAACGACGGGAACATGTCGTTACAATAGATACCAATTTACCCATCACTCATCCCCGAGTGACAACTTAGGAAAATAGGCTAATGAAGGAATAAAGTAGAATCTGAATCGACGAACAATTGGGGATACTTCTCTCGCATGTCCCTCTCGGTCTCCGAAGTAGCTTCCTCAACTGGACGATGCTTCTATTGAACTTTCACAGACGTAATCTCATTGGTTCTCAACTTGCGCACATCACGATCAAGAATTGCAATCAGTTCCTCCTCATATTAGAGGTCATTGTCTAACACAATTGAGTCCCACTTAATGATATAATCCCCGACACCATGATACCTCTTCAACATGGATACATGAAATATCGAATGAACACCCGATAAATTAGGAGGTAAAACCAATCTATACGTTACCAGTCCTACACATTCAAGAATCTCAAATGGACCAATGTATTTAGGACTTAACTTACCCTTCTTACCAAATCTCATCACCCTTTTATGGGTGATACCTTAAGAAGAACATTCTCACCGATTTGAAAAGTCATATCTCTTACCTTATGATCCACATATTTCTTCTGTCTACTTTGGGCTACTAGAAGTTTAGCTTGAATACTCCTCACCTTATCTTGGGCATCCTTCACTAAATCAACCCCCAAAGGTTTCACATCTCCAGCCTCAAACCATTTTATGGCATCCCCTCCCATATAATGCCTCAAATTATGTCATATCAATACTGGAGTGATAACTATTATTATAGGAGAACTCCCATAAAAGTATGAATTTATCCCAATGCCCTACAAAATCAAGCACACATGCCCTCAACATGTCTTCTAACACTTAAATAGTCCTCTCTGACTGTCCGTCTGTC